CAAGTACAACAGAAAAACATAAAAGAAAATCTGTGCAGAAGCCACAGGAAAGGATGAATGTGGTCAAATGTTTTACGAACCAGTAATTATGATGTTGAACCAATGTTGCAATCAAATGGTGTTTCCATTTATTGATCCGAAATGAAGTTTGTCTTCTTCAATACTAAGCTTTGAAGTGAGATATGATGGAGATTTTTTTTTCACAGAAGGGAAGCTGAAATTTTAACAACAATAAACTAGTGGAGCCAACTAAGATTGAACAACATATTGTTGTTAAGTATCTCGACATGATATGGTCTGAATGGCTTTTTTTGAAATCTGATTAGATGTGGAGACATGAAAGGAATTAGGATAAATCCTCCTTATGATGTATTTCAAGATTCCAATCAGAACATACTGCTATTTTGCTTTATCTACTAAGTTTGGCATATCTACATCTACATTCTTCAAAGATAATAGATTCTCTCTTCAAAGATGATAGATTCTCTTTTCAAAGAAGAAAGATTTATTGGATTTCTACACAAGTGAAGACGGAATTCACCACTTTGAAATCAAATAAATATGAACTTAACATTCAAGCATCATATTTATACATTTGCAAAATAGGGGCATTTTCATTCATTTTATCCATGTTGAATATTTGACAGGAATTTCAAAGATTTTAGCAAAGATTCGAATCCATCATTCAATGGATTAACATATCCAGGTAGAGCTCATAATGAGAAGAACTCATCTGAAGAAGGAATAAGAAGTTCATAATGAGAAGAACTCGTCTGAAGAATGAAGAAGAAGTTCATAATGAGAAGAACTTGTTCAGCCTTTTGCTCTACTCTATCGCAGAAGGAGATAGATCATCATCAACATTTCCAGAGAAAGTTCATAATGAGAAGAACTTATCTGAAGAGGAAGAAGAAGTTCATAATGAAAAGAACTTGTTTAACCTTTGCATGACTCTATTATAGAAGGAGATAGATCAACATCAACATTTCCAAAAGTGTTCATAATGAGAAGAACTAATCCCAAAAAAGAAGAATTTGTTCAAAATTACCTTAATTCATCACATATGAAGCCAAATTAACAACTCCTGTTTTGAAGATCAGCATTTCTAGAAGGAGTTCATAATGAGAAGAACTCGTCTAAAAAAGAAGAAGTTCATAATGAGAAGAATTTGTTCAACTTTTTGCTAGATTACATCATAAAAGAAGATAAATTATCATCCCCAGTGAAAAATGGAAAAGTTTATAATAAGAAGAACTAATCCCAAAGAAGAATTTGTTTAACATTGCCATCATAATCAAGTGAAGTCAAATGAAAAAAAAAATATTATCTTTTTATCTTTGCCCTATTCTCGTTAACACAAGAATGAGCAAAGAGAGGCAGCTGAAGACACTAGTTTTTTCCATTTGATTTATTATTATTATTATTATGATCATTATTATTATTATTATTATTATTATTATTATTATTTACATTACAAACCCAAAACCAGACTTGCCCATTTACAAATCCCAGAGCCCAAACCCAAATGTGTAACCCTAAACCTATTTAGGGTTTATATCTCAGCTTCAGCCACCAACAAGCAGCAACCGTTGGATCTTGTAAGATCAAACGGTCCAAGGACCTCCAGACGAAACCCTAGGGTTATGATACCCTAGGGCCACGCGGCTGCTGTCTTCAATGCCACCGCTCCACGCCACTTCATCTGCTGCCACGATGCCCACCAAAGGCTTCTAGAAGAGCCATTTCAGCCGCACATGTCGCCCAACAGTGAGTTACCACTGGAAGTTTGGTGACTCACCAAACTTCAGCCTTTTACCCGGTCCGAGACGAGCGCCGGTGATGGTTATAAAACCATCAACCGAACCTGCAAGAACACCACGAGAGCAACCATAGAAAAAGAAACAAGACAGAGAACACGACAACCATCGAGGGACACAGAGAGAGAGATATGGGAGCAACACCAAGCAACCACGACAACAAGACAACAAACCAAAGGAAAAGAGAAGAGATCTCCATTTTCGAGAGTCGAATCACCGAAGTCACGACCTCAGATCTAGGACGATTGGAGAATTTTTAAGGTAAACAAATCTTGGTTTCGGCTTTAGGGGAAGCTAAGCTTCGATTTGTGCTAGTTTTCCAAATTCCGACACCGGAGCAAGGCGGCCAGCCGGTGTCTGGTTTCCCTCCGGCGAGGGAAACTAAGAGAGAAGGGAGAGGAAATCTCTCCTAGAAAGAGAAAGAAAAAAAAGAAATGGAAATTTGGCCTAAAATGATCGGTTTAAGGGTATTTAAATCCCTCCCCAAACAACGTTGTTTTGGGGGAGGGTGTCTATGTAATTTCCATCTGGGAAGAATCACGCGTGTAGCCATCCTAGTTTTGTAAATTTCTATTTTAGTCACTGAATCAAATTTATGATCCTTTTAATTTGATCTCTTAATTTTATTTAATTTATAATTTAGTCATTGATATAAATAATATATATATATTAGGTAAAATAACATGTTTAGACCTTTAAGTTTAATAATTAATATTTTAATCATGAAGGCATGTTTTAATTTATTTAAATTTGATATTCGAATTTGATAGATATTTATTTTAGTCCCTAAATTAATAATAGGAAAAATAGCACATTTAGCCACTGTAATATTAAATAATTAATTACGAATTAGGATATTTAATTTTAATATGTTCTAATTTAGTCACTAATTTTAATACTTTCATTTATCTTACAAGTTTTATTACTTTTTATATTTTAATACTATAGTTTTAATTTTATTTATTATAGTCATTGCTTATTTATATTTTAATTTTATATGTTTATATATTTAATTATTTTTATTATTATTATGTATCCATATAAACATATATAATAAATAATATTTATTTACTTATTTTTTTATATTAAATAAAAATCCTATTTATAAATTTAATTTTATATAAATTACTTATAAGAAAAATAATCATATTTTTTTATTTTTTAATATTAAGAAATTGGTTGTCTTAAAGCACCTAGAAGTCCTTTTATGATATTCTCAAATAAATAAATATCCTATTTTTATAAATTATATATATTAATTTATTTTAATTATTTTTAGAAAAATATTTTATTAATATTTATTTATTTTTTAATATTAAGAAATGAGATGTCTTAAAGCACCTAGAAGTCCTTTTCTTATATTTATAAATAAATAAATATCTTATTTATAAAAATAAAGATATATATATATTAATATATTTTCTTAAAATTATATTAATAAATTTGAAATAACATGATTATGAATTAAATATATTTTTAAATTTTTAAATTTTCAATAATAGAGACAATTTATAATTAATGAGTATCAATTTTGAGCGTTATAGGGGTGCTATTCTTTCCCTAAATGTAATCGACCACGAATCCCTTCTTTACTAAAAATTTTTGGTTATACGCAGATCAATTTATCTTTTAAATTATGTTTTCTTAAAAACTATTTAAAAAGATTATTTTTAGGTATTTGACCTACCTAACCCAAAAAAAAACTCCCAAAATATTTTTTTTACTAAAATTATTTATTTATTCATTTTAATTTTCCGTCAAATAAAAAAAATCGTACCTAGACAAAAACGGATACAACATATTTGTTCCACTAAAAGGCAGTAGTAGTAAACTTAGAGATAGTTGATGAAAGATTTTCATCATTATCCCAGTTACCAATGAGCATACGCCTGAAGTCAGGTGAGTGTGCTTAGCAGAGAGATACTGAAAAGGCAGACTAGTAGAGTGGCGAGAGAAGGCACCGACTTGGAGAAATAAAGGACGGTGATCCGAAGGCATCCTTATGAGGTGTTGGACACTAGATTCTGGGAAAGACTCATCCCAGTCAGAGTTGCAAATAAATCGATCCATACGAGCAAAAACAGTGCCTCTAGACCAAGTAAAGTTAGGGCCATGAAACCCAAGTCATGAAGCCTATGGTCGTAGAAGAGGTCCCGAAAAGCAACGCTGGGCTTGGTAGAAGATGTACAACCAAGTCTATCATCAGAGGAGATAGTAGCGCTAAAATCACCGAAAATCAACCAAGGAGAAGTTATGTCTAAAGTAAGACGACGAAGATTCAGCCAAATATATTTTCGCTATGTAGCATTTGGACTTTACATGTATGAGAGTACCTAGAGAGGAGCTACCATTTTCTTGACAGCGGAATAAGAAATGAATAAACTGAAAGTGGTTTACCAGAACCTCAATAGAAACAGTGTTATACCAACAGAGCTAAATCCCTCCAGAGAAACCCACTGCTTCAATCCGATATGAATGAGGAAAACCCAAGGAGGCGATGATTGAGTTGGCTTTAAAACCACTAATGCAAGGTTCAACCACACCAACAATATCAGGCTTATGGTCTCTTAAATACTGCCTGATAGCAGGCAAGAATCTTGGGTGGCCACAACCCTACATATTCCAACTAAAAAGCTTTAATACCATTGATAAAATAACAGGAAAAGATGTGACTCAGGCGGTCTTAAGAGTTATTAACTATGTCTGGGGCAACTGTTGAATCAATATCAATTTCAGAATGCAAGTCATGGTTGGCATTGAGCGGGTGATCTGAAATTTGCGAATCTCCAGGATCAATAATATCCGGAGGAGATCTTGGGGTTAGTTCATGAGGTGGGATGTTATCTATATCCTGTTGCATTGGATCATGCACGTCATTGGGATAATCATTCTCAGAAATTGTGACAACTGAATGGCAGAATCTGTCGAGTTGCTTGGGAAACATGTGGAGTGCGAGGAGCTGTGCTAGAAGAGCCGGGTTGGGAAACTTGGTTGAGCCTGATGTTATGAATATTGTCAAAGGCTTGCGTACGGATAGGATCAGTTTTTGTTTCATAGTTTTAGGAGCCTGGGTGATCGTTGTTTTGTCTTTAGCGATCGTCTTGGGGGTGAGCGAGCAAAAGGTTTAATTGTGAGAGGGATAGCATCATGGGTTTTCTCAACGTCAGGAGCATCAGAAATTTCCTAAAAAATTGGTTTGAATTTGGATGCAACAATGATGATGTTATCGGTGGGAACAGTAGCTTCTGATTGTTTCTTTATCGAGCGTCGCTGCCTGCGCTCAACGACCATCCAAGGCCCAAATGGTGCAGATGAATCCAAGGGGGGTTGGTCAGCGCTTGGTTGGTCAGCAGTAGGAGCGGTGTCAACTTTAGGAGCTAGGTCTGGGCAATGATCTTGAACGTGTCCATACTTTCCATAGGAAAAACATATTCTCGGGAGCGATTCATACTCTACAATCTGAATATTTCCACTAATTAGGAGCTTGGAAACAAGGGGTTTATGCAAGTCAATCGTAACTGCCATGCGAGCAAAACGTCCCTGCCTCCCACTATCATTTCGATAGTCCATGCGAACTACAAGTCTCATGCATTCGCCCATCTCATTGATGATGCCACGCTTATAAAGCGTGACAGGCAATCCCGAAAGATGTATCCAAGCACCAGCTTTCTGAGGATATGGTTGTGTAGTGGAAAATTCGATGGACCAAGTCTCAACGGTGAGATAGTTGCCGAAAATTGTCCAAGGACCAACTGAGATGGCGTTCAAGAAGTCAGATTGGGGTTCTGAAGAATATCAGGAAGTAATCGTTCTCTATATCCATGAGATAGAAGGGTTGACTGGATTTCCAAAGATCATACAGCTTGCTACGAAGCGAGTTATATCTGCCTAGAAGCTTAACGACTACCGTCATATCGAGACTTTTGACTACAAGGGATTTGACCCTATCCGAAAAATCAATTAAGATGATCCCATCGATCAGGTTATGAGAAACATCACCTTCTAATATCTCAATCTCATCTTCATCGAAAATCTCCTCTTCTTTAGTGAAATTATGAGATCCTTTTTAAGTGATTTTTCTTTGTATGACGAAACCCTAGGGTTCGTTGAAGGTGAAGATACAGCCTCCATATGAACGGGATCTGCTGCATGGCTCTAGACAAAAATTGATTACGTAAGTTTTAGAACAACACTCTTTTTAATTACTAAGATCGTTTGATAGGTTTTATATTTAAATTGTCAATGAATTTATTTGTGCTAGTTAAGGTTGTGCATATGCATTGATTGTACTTATAATTGGAACTAAAAAATTAAAACACTTTTTGAAAATTTATTGTATGTAATTGTACAATTGTGGTACGTCTAAAAAGTGTCGTAATCTGTAAAATATCAAATTATAGTCTTTAATTCATAGGAGAAGATGTGAGAATTGATATTACACATATAATTAAATTATTCATTTTTTTTATAAATATTATTACTACTTAGAGTTCTATAACAGACATATTATATATAGAATGCCTTTTTTTCGATTGTAGTAAATTTATTTTGATTCATGCTTTTATTATTGAATACTTAAATATTTATAAAATGATTCATTGTCCAATTATATTAGACTTTTTGACACCTATATCCAAAGAATATTAAATTTTCTAATTCACTAATTCACTAATTCATTCAATTTTGGTTTTTCTTAAAGTGTGCTTTAATATATTCTTACAAATATATAAAATTATTGAAAAAGATAAATACCCATTACAATAACATTTATTATACTTTAAATTGATTTAACAATTTATTAAATGATGAAATTAATTTTATCAAACACTCAAATATTAACCTAGATGATACAATTTTAAATTGGCAATAGAAAGCAATATTAAACAAATTTGAAATTCAAGTTTCTTTACTTTGATATCAATCCAAGACCTATTTCATGAACAAATAATTGAATAGATAAGGAAATGACAGGGAAAGTTGGCCTGACCTGAATGCGACTTTAATATCTTTGTTTTCACATAGTCAGCTCCATCTAAATAATTCCTTTTCTTTTTCTTAGTAGCGGATATATCCCTACTTTGTTAATATTTGTTTAAAACTAAATCTATTAAGTGGTATCAGTAGTAAAAGAGAATATTGTTTTTATTGTAGATCATGAGTTTAAGCGATTGTGTTGCAAAGTGTATGTGCATTATCAATTAATTAAAAATTTTAAATATATATTATCTTATAATCACTTTAAATTATTTAAAAAATATACTTATTTAAAACTAGGATGAACTAGAATCCGGATATCATAAACATTTTTGAAGAGGTACGAGAGTTTGTAAAAGTGTACTAATGTTTGCACTTAATTTTATATATTTTTACGATGAAAATAGATAAATGAGATTATCTCTTTATTTATTTTCCTCAATAAATTCTCATTGGGCTCAAATATTCCGGTTGATAATTGAAAGTGATAGGCAGCTAGCTGTTGAATGGATATAACATGGTATATAGGAGAAAAAAATACAGCATGAGTGCTACTGTTAATACATCATTTAAAATTTGTACAAGAATTCATTACTATTTTGTACCGGTGTTTACATATGTACAGTTTTATCAAAGAGAGGGAGTCTCAGAGTTGGAGATCGATGATTCCACGCCCCGACGGACATCACCCCGGCAAAGAGGGCACACTCTACAAAACAGAAAGAGAGGTAGGTCAGTTTCGTAAAGACAAGGGCTGGCGCCAGTAACCTATATGCGGAAGAAACGATGCCCATGTATCTCTTTTAGCCATTTATCGACGCAAGACATATGAAACTCGTGCTGGCAAGGAAGAACTCTTATTTTGTCCCCATCGTTGTATTCAGCCAGGCATATATAACACCTATACATATGATTACAGTAGCAATAGTAAAGAAAAGCATGTTATTAAGGTAGGCCAATCAACAAGCACTTCAATCTGCAAGAATATAGAAAAAACTTACTGTTCAATGGCACTTCAATGGCACCTTTTCATGACGTCTGAGAGGGAAAGAATCAACTACAGACTCGGGGGCAGGGAGAAACACCATAGACAGAGAAAGTGATGCTGGCTGGCGATGAATGTCATCCAAAACCTACAAATTTTCATTTTGACAGAAAAGAAATGAGGTGAACTTCTGGAACTCCATAAGTGTCTATCGATATCACAGGCATCAACGTTGATCATTACTACTTTCTGTTTTACTAGCATGAAGATTGCAAAATGCAATTTGCCTCGCATATATACGCTCACCTCATTATAGTAGACATGCTATATAAAATCTTGCTCAATAAGAAAAAGGATGAGCATCGCAAATGGGAAGACAGAACTTTAACATCCAGAATACATTAACAACATTGAAGTCCTTATACCAATTTTCAATTCATTCTTCCCTATCAACAAAATCTACCCTGGTCGTTATCAACAAGTGACTTTATAATTTGGTATAATTTGTCATACAAGATCAACTTCTGAAGGAACAAGGGATGGAAGATGACAAAACGACACAAAACACGATGCGTTGGCAATAGACAGGAAGACATGCAAGCTGATAAAGGAAAACTACCTCAAAGAGAGCCTCGGAAAGCATAACTATCCGTGATATACTTGCACGAGCACTAGACTCGTCAGTCATCGAGAGAGAACCGCATGAGCAGGTTCCATCAGGGTGGAGTCCAGATGGGCAAACTGTAGTTTGCTGACTATTTTCATCATGTCCACGACGCAGCCTTTCCCATATCTGTAAAACCAAATATGGTAGCTCATACAAATTGCACGAATTTCTGTAGTCAAAGTGCTTTGCAACTAAATACCTCCGATCTTGAGTGTCGTCTCCGTTCATTAAAGCTGTGGAGCCGACTGCTGAGGTAACCAGAATCACCTCCTGACCCATCATAAAAGAAATCGCCACTGAAATCAAGGAGCCACCTGTCATGAAAGCCGATATCATCGCTATCATCTGTTGAGAGGAAAATGGATGGAGAATCATTAAGTCTTCTGGAGCTGTGTCTCGAAAATGCATCCCAAAACAATCTTATACTATTCCTCCTGGCTTCATGACTACTTGTATCAGCACTGCCACCGGATAAGATATTGGAAGAGATACTCACAACATCAACGTGAAGCACACTCCCGTCTTCCTGGCCCCATTCCCTATTGGATACAAGAAATCCTACACCTGAAGGTACAGCCTCTCTAATTGATTCACCTCCTGTTGATTGGAAAGTCACTGATTCAGAGGCATGACGAGCAGAATCGGAAGCTGAGTTATGGACTGTTGTTCCTTCGCCCAACTGATTCTCAACCGGTATTCCATGCAAAGATGAATCTTCAAGCCCTTGAGAAGACAAAATACTTGGTTCGGAAACCCTGTTTGCATTTGCAAAGCCACTGGGTGAATCCTCATTAGCCGAAAGATTTATTGAGACAGGAGCTGAATATTGTTTTTCTTTTACGGAAGAGTTAGCTGAAGCACTACTATCCCTATGAGATTCACCGTGACTATAATCAGCAGTTACCTCAGGAGCAACTAACCCCGTGCTTTCATTCAAGCATTTTCTAGAGTTACTTGTTCCTACACCTGCTGAACCACCTTCAATATATGGAACCCCAGAGGCTAAGGTACTGCTTTCAGACGAAATTCCGGTTTCGGTACCTGTGCTACTGAACCTAGTTTCCATACTGCAGATCGAAGTAGATTCCTCCAGGGGATGGACCATGTTGGTAACTTGGTCATAATGTTCTGAAGATTTTAGTATTTCAGCAGGATAATCTTCCATCTACATCAAAAGAATGTATTGTATCATTCACTGCAGCATAAACTAGAGCTTCCATGTGAAATGCTTAGGGTACAATCTAAAAATAATATATATATATATATATATATATATATATATATATATATATATATATATCCAAGGCATAAACTTGTTCATTAACATGCAATCCACAACACCACGACCACGACCCCACCCCACCCGACCCGAGACGGACGGCGGCGGCAGCGCGCGAGAGTCCCCCTTGTTCTCTATCACTCAACAAGGAAGTGGGAAAGCCAAGCCTTAAATACCATTCCCAATAGTATTTCCAATATTATGTGGGATTGAGCATTACCAACACTTGTTCCCAACACTTGAATTTATCTTATGCGTTAATTATGGTGTTTCATGAGTATAATAGTTGTTATAATTTATTGGTGCTTTGGTGATAAATAAATGTACAAATTTTTATTATGGTGTTTCATGAGTGCGACAGTAAAACAATAAGGTAAAATTCTATTATTGATTAAATTTAGTTTCATTGATTATGGTTTCGTAAAGTATACAATATATATTTGTATTGATTGTTGATTGCACGGTTAAGAAATTTTATTACAGTTATGTACTGTTTATTTTATTAAATTTGAATTCAGTATTTGGTTAATCTTGTAGTTGGTTTTAGATTTTTGTATCGTGTTCTAGTTTATTTTGATGAATCTATAATTAAGAAATACTTGAAAGATAGTCAAAGATTAAGGTTTTTTTATTTTTAATGGTGTCATTTAGACATTATTATTTTGACTTATTTTGAAAATCGTGATATGATCATAAAATTTATGTAATCTTTGATTCTTATTGGAATATTAACTTCTTTTGTATATGCTTACTACTATTTCAGTTACCAAATATAGATATATATGATGCTAATGTTATGAATTATGAGATATATATTTGATTAAAGATTTAATTCATTAGTATTGAGAACAAGTGTTGGTAATGCTCAATCCCACATAGTATTAGAAATACTATTAGGAATGGTATTTAAGGCTTGGCTTTCCCACTTCCTTGTTGAGTGATAGAGAACAAGGGGGACTCTCGCGCGCCGCCGCAGCCGTCGTCTGTCTCGGGTTGGGTCGGGTCGTGGTCGTGGTCGTCGTGGTCGTGATCGTGGTAATGGTAATGGTAATACGTGTCTTTGACACGTCCGCACGAATACTATCTTTTTAGAGAAAATTCTTAAGAAACAAATGCAATACCACCAATCGTTGCAATTTTGGACTATCGCAACGAACTTGGAGACTATCGCAATGAATTTGGAGACTACCGCAACGAATTTGGAGACTATCGCAACGAACTTGGAGACTATCGCAACGAACTTGGAGACTATCGCAACGAATTTGGAGACTATCGCAACGAACTTGGAGACTATCGCAACGAATTTGGAGACTACCGCAACGAACTTAGAGACTATCGCAACGAATTTGGAGACTATCGCAACGAACGAACTTGGAGACTAGCGCAACAAATTTGTAATAAATCGTGACGCGAACTTGGACTATCGCAACGAATTTGGAATAAATCGCAACGCAAACTTGGACTATCGCAATGAATTTGGAAAATCACAACGCGAACTTCAACTATCGCAACACGAACTTGGACTATCGCAATGCGAATATGTAAATCGCAATGCGATAGTCGAAGTTCGCGTTGCGAATCTGGAAATTGATTTGCGATACCTGAGATCGCGTTGCGAATTAGCGATCGCATTGCGATTTTGTTGGTCATTTTGGCAAATCCAAAAAAAGTTGGTTAAAATCGTATATTATAAGGCATTTTTGGTCACTGAGGTTATTTTCTCTTGTTTTTATATCCCGAATTTGTTATGCAGTCCTTTTTGGGGTTCAAATTTCAGTGTTTAAATTATCTCCTAATAATTCCATCTGAATCTTTCGAAAAGTTTTTAAAAAAATATTAAAAATTAAAATAACCTAAATCATCGTGAGCTAATATGTATTTAGAATTTTTTTAATTTATTGATAATATATAAATACTTGAATATAATTGTTCGAATCTTAATCTTCTAAAAATAAAAACACTCACTCAATGGATTTAATTTTAAAGATTTTTTTAAACATAATTTTAAAGGTTTTAAAAAATTTTAAATATTTTCAAATATTAGTATTTGAAATATTAATATTTTTAATTTTTTTCGTTTAAATGAATAATTATTTAAGAAAATCATGTTAGAATTATTATAAAAACAATAATATCAAAACAAATAGTATAAAAATAAAACTATTTAATATAAATATCATTAAATTTGTAAAAGTATTTAAATGATGTTAATACTATAAAAATGCACATTAAATTTAAATATAAGGTATTTTAAAATTCAAAAATTTTATTTCATAATGGAATTGAATGTTTTTTATTTTGAAGAGAATGGAATTGAATGTATTAAATATAATAAGATTAGACTGAATTTTAAATATCACACATGTTTTTAATGGGGTTTTATAAAATATTTAAGTTACTTAAATTCATTTTTTAAATTTTCTTGTAAATTTAGAATTTTCTACTCTTTTTACTAAAAGGATAATTTTATTTTAAAAGTTTTAAAACTTCTAATGCAAATATGTTTCCTTAGAATTCTCTATCCAACTATACTCTTAATCATTATCTGCATTCTCTTAATGATTTTGCATATTCATGCTCCTACAAAATTCCAAATAGCAACAAGACAACTTCATTAGTTATTGTCTCACATTCTTTATTTTGCTTAAATGATATATTTGATTTGATCCATATACAATTTGAATTGATAATTAAATTTATTTTGATAAAAATAATATTTTTCTAATATTTTAAATATTATTGATTTTATAATGATAAAAGAGGGAGACATGGGTAGGCTTCAATGGAGAAGGAATACTGGTTTTCTGGTGGGGTGATTGAGCTTTCTCAAGTTTATTTTCGTTTGGTAATGATGTTCCTACTTCAACTTTTTACTATTCCAAAAATTATTTTCTTTTATCGCTTTCATTTCGAACAAGTTGACATTGACTTGTGTATTGAGTTCAAGATACATTTTGTGTACCAAAAGTGTTCAAAAAACTTATTTGTTGAAATAACGTGAATGCTATAATGTCGGTAGGAAGATGCATGGAAAATTTAACGTCTTTAAAAAGATGCATAGATGAATAAACATCTTTGAAAATACATAACATCTTTTTCAAATTGTGTGCGGTCAGAATGACAAACCTAACATAGTAACAATCCAGAAGACGTCGACGTCTTCCTACCCAACACTAACAAATACCCTATCTCAACAAATAATTTTTCCTACACTATAAATGAACCTATCTGTTTTTTTCCCGACAACATTATCTAAGAAACATGAAATCCCAGAAATTCAACTTCATTTCAATGTTCTTGTATGGCAATTTCTGGGTTCTCAGCCTTTCCCATGTCATTTTTATTTGTGGTTGGATCTTACATAAAATATACATGTCCTTGTTGAAATGAAGATCAAACGCCATGAAAATGATGGGTCTAAACCACTTATTTATTTAGACAACAGAAAATGAAATCCAAAGATGATGTTCAGCCAATATTCAAGCTGCTGCTTCTGCAGCTGATGAGACTTTCTGGACGACAACAACGGGATCTCCCACTTTAACCATCTTTGAGTTCCTTCGGTGCTTTCCTTGCAAACCAAGTTCAGCCCAAAGTAGATCTTCCATAGCCATGGAACCAAGGTTATTGGTAGAATTATACAAGCATACGGCCAAGAGCTCGGAGTTTTCGTCTTACCCTCCCCTGCTGTTTGTCGTTCGGTCGCAAAACCTTATCTGACCTGACTTTCATTAGAGTTTCAATCGGCTCCGGACCGGCGATTGCGGTGTCTTGATTGATTGTAGGTACCTACTAAAAACACATTCGTTAACCGTCCACGGATGGTATGCTCATGCATATGAAATGCACATATCTAATAGATGATGGCATGCTGCAAAATCAAGGAGTCAAACAAACAATGGAAGCAATCTTGTCTTTTCCGATAGCCGTCAAGTTCGCAAAATGACATTCTTGCAGAAAATGCAGAAAGGTGACCTCAAATAACATTCTTGCACTTGCACTTGACAAGTAGGCTGAAAATGCAGAATCGATAGCTTCTTACCTTACAGCGGGCGCATAGTTTCACACAGTCAAATGAAAATTGGCCTATTTTCATTTTCGTCCATGTGTCTTCCGAAAACAGTTCGCAACCACGAACAACAATGCTGCCGCGAGCAAGTAAACGAAGCACTAGTCATAAACAATTCGTATAGAGTACAAAAGAGGTGATAAAATTCAGGGTCAGACACATGATTTCCACTGGAAAAATCATACTAAGATTTGAATCTGATGTAGTAAGTGGATCCTAGAAACGACTAGCTTATGGAAATCGTTCCCGATCGAATCACAAGCTAGATAGACACCGAGAGATGTAATTATGAGCCTGAAAAGAAAAGAAAATGTATTTGGGTCTAAAACGATTAATCGGCACAGGCTCCTTCATAAGCTTGTTAAGTGCATCCAATGATTCCTGCAAAAGTACCTCTAAGGTCAGATTTGAACTTTGTTAATAAACATCACTTACAAAGCAAACCTGAGATAGTAGCATGAACGGATACTCGTCCGAAAACATGATGTCATGCCCACCAGCATACCCCGGATCTACTGGCCTAGTTTCCGATGCTGCATAATCGAATAACAGCATAACCAAGTTACTGACAATATTAAGCATCTTAATGTGCACACTACGCTGATATGCCATCGGTATATATATACATATTCTGTGCTCTTCAAGGAAAACATTTTCATTCTGACAATACCTACCAAGAATATTGCAATGTACTATAATCAAACCAACCTGCATTAAAACGAACCAGCCTACAGGGTTCCCCGATATATTCCATGAGCCATTTCGAAGCCTCATCACCCTCATCCAATGCAGACCCGGACCACTCCCATACCGAAACACCATCTGCTACTCCTGACGGTTTACTGAGCCGAACCTTGAGAGAATCCATTCCAGGTGCTTTGATAACTGCAAAAAGATGGTGATTAATCAAAGGAAATCCTTAGAAAACTTGTTAGAAACCCCAAGCAGCTAAGCTTGTTAAAAGCAAATGACTAAGTTATGTTATACAGGTGAATGAGGCAAGACAAGGATGACTGCAGGAATTTCAAATTCTCATAAAATTTAGATTTTTTCTTTGTATTTTTTATTGATAATCGCCTCCCTAATCACCTAATTTTATAAATTCGTTCCCTTTAACAAAAAATATTGCGTAAGATGAGTTGATTTTACTCATATAGGAGTCATTGATAGGTTCCCAACCCTGGTAGAAGGCCTCAACCGGCAGATCTACTTGGACAAGAGCAAGCTTTGGTTCAACCCTTTGAGTGAGTGCCCTCCCTTTCTGGTTCACAATAAGCCATTGCCTATCCCATCGAAATCCTGCAATTCAACAAAATCAAAGCTGAAACTAATACCAGAGTTGCAGATATAAACATAATCTAACAACAAAATGGTTAATTGTTGACGGAATAAACAACTTAAGTCAAAGGGAAAATGTACCGGGGCATGCAAATGAAGTTTTATTCCCCAGGAAACAAACAGATAAGAAAGAAAGAGAGGGGTTTTACCAGTGGGGGTGAGAGGTGCATGAGGAACTGAGATTCCACGGCATGATTTTACAGGGTAGATGAAGATCGACGATTTATTGGTTGCAGTTTCCATTGATGGCGATGACTGATGAGCAAGTTAAAAGTGCTCTGTCAACGATGCATATACAAAGATAATGTTGAGTTCCCACGCAATCTTATCTGTTTTTATTCTCATTCCATGTAACTCGGTTTTGGACCAAATTACATTTTTTTTTAAGTTTGCAGCTCGGTTTTGAAACATGTGGGAAGTTCAGGGACTTAATCTTGAATTATACCATTTTTCTGATCAGGGAAATTTAAAAACCAAACCCCCTAAACCCATTTGCTCACCACCTGAACAGTCCACCCGAGCTCCGTTTAGCCTCCTCCGGTCAGCGCTGAGGTGCACCGCTGCGTCCTTCAGCCTCAACGGCGAATGGTGATCCAACCCCGACCCTTGGATTGCTCGTATAGGCCATCGTTCATCATAAACTTGGAGAACCCACTAAAACCCCAACCGTTCAGTTTTTCGCAAAATTCGATTGTCGTGCTCACCAGTTTAACACACTACCCCGAGTACCGGATTCCCCAGCTCCGTGCGACCAAAACCTGACCGAGTTCGCCGTCCATCGTTTTCGTCCATCGTCAGTATGGGTAAGTGTTTCAACCCTTTTTCTTTTATTTCCGATGGATTTTGGCTTAATGTTAATGTTGATTTGGATTGATTTTGGTGAATGTTGAAACAGGGAGTAATCGAACCGTTGAAACTAGCTCTGTCACCGCTACACGCGCCGACAGTGTGTGTGGGATTCGTCGGCCAGTCCAGAGAGCTTCTAGAACCGGTCCAGTCAAACTGGTCTGAACCGAGTCAACTCGCCTTAGTCAACCATTACTTAGTCAACCCGTCCGAGTCAACTCGTTGACTTTGACAGAAAAGTCAAAATTTTCAAAAAGTCATATTTCATATTTTTCGACATCCTGAGTCCGAATCCAAATTTCATTTTTCCAAATTTGCACTCGGTAAGCTATTTTTTTAGTGTTTTATCTTCGGATTCAATTTGGTTTTTCGATTAAGTTCAATTTCTGACGTAAATTCCTTTGATATATATCCGAGATATTATTGGACGTTGGATTCAAGTTTGAGAGTGATCAAATGGAGTTTAAATGTTCGATTGGTGGAGCACGAAAATCGAGGTAATACATTACTACCTTATGCATGCTTAATGAAACATGTTGGTATTGGTAAATGCATGATTGAATATATATAGTTACTTGTGTGTGCAGTTAAAATTTCTAAACTCGATCTGAATGTGAAATAAAGTAAATTAAACTAAATAAGGCTCAGACTACATGCATAGACACAAGAGGACTGATAAGAAATGATTTTAAGTTCATTGATTATCCGGAAAAACAAATAACCTCAGAATCTCTAAATTCTATTTATCTTCATTAAAAAGTTTAATACTGAAACTACTTGATTATGAAATTACGAAATTTCTCCTTAAGTGTAAAATGACCAAAATACCCTTGAAGTGTAAAATGACTATATTATATGACCAAGTTGAACTAAGTGGAAGTATTGTATGTATCCGAATTGTGAAAACGACTGAATTACTCTGGAAACCTCGAAGTGATCGAAATAAACTTGACTACTAAATGACCTAAGTACCCTCAATGACATAGAATTAAGAGAATGACTTGGATAAAACTGAAAACGCTAATAAACTTATATATTGTACCGTCCATAAGGGCTTTAAACCATAAATCCATCACGTTGACATTTCGTGATACCATTGCAACACAGAAATGAATTAAATATTATTGGAATACATGTTCGTCTCCCTAAGATCAATTCAACAATGATCTTGATATTGATCGATTCAATTAGTTCAGTCAGTGTTAAGAAGTGAATAATAGTGAAGTATCACGGTTCAAATGATTGACAAGTATCGCAGTGTTGGGATCTATAGTTCAATTAGACTCGAAATCCTGATAATCCAATATATAATCTTGAAATCTCAAATAACTTTGAACGGATATATCTGACAAATTACTAGAAAAAGTTACATAGGTTTGGATTGAAAAGAATTTACCAAAATGTAATCGAGCTACGAAATATTAAAACAACTCTAATATTCAAATGAATGAAATACCCCTAAACCCAAAAAAGAATTGGAATACCTTAAACTCTAAGATGACCGAAGTAACATCGAGTGTGGAAGTGACCCAAATATTCTAACAACTTGAAATAAGTGAATGTCTTTGGATAAATTCTAGAAACATCAATAAACTTATGTTGTATCATCCCTAAAGGTTTTGGAGCATAACTCAAGTGTGTTGAGTATTCTTGATACTGATACATCCTAGAAATGTATAATACTATCAAATACATGATCGCCTCCTCTAGTTCCATTCAATGTTGATTCTGAAAGTGATAAGTTCAACAAGTGTAATCAATATTAAGAAGTGATTATTCGTGAAGTGTATCAGTCTAGAATATTGACAAGTTTTACAGTGTAGAGATCAATTAGTACGATTTGACTCGAAATCATGATAATTCGGTATAAATTCATAATAATGCAAACTACCATTTTACCCTTATTGGATTAAGTTACTAAGAATCCATCAGAAATTAAAATGTTCGGAATACTCCTTTCTGCCTGAATAATGGGAACACTCTTGTTATATCTAAATCTTTAATAACTCTGATGTAAAAGATTATGAATGGCTTCCTGATTACTTAATTGCCTCTGAAAAATATCTGAAATACTAATGATCTTGATAAATCACTTCCCGAAAGAATGATGAATCAGTTAGCTATCAAACCCCCTTTTTATAGGGATATTGATTCTAAAATCCTATTAAACTATAGAAAGTTTCATGGTTTCCTACCTGATAAATACCAAGTACCTCTGAAGAATATTTGGATCCTCTAGTGTGTTCCCTATGTACTACATGATTGTTTTATCTATTTTAAAATGTGTTTCACCGAAATTTATGATTTACTGATTTACTGGCTTATGAACCATGGCTACATGGTATGTGTTCTCTGATTACCTGTTTTCACTAGAAAATATAATTGTTCCTGATTTATGGATCATGGGACCTACTGGTTACTACTTGAACTGTTTTATTGGAACATTATCTGGGTAGGATGGAATATGGAGGTTCAGCTCTAATCAAGCTAATAATTCCTTATGGACCTAAGGCGACCCTTGGGTAAGCTCTGAGGCCCCTGAGAAACTTTCTTGGGTAGGTTCTCAAGCCCCAAGACCCTTTCTTGGGTAAATCATGGGACTACATATGGTGTACGAGTGGAGGGAAGTTATGTCGTTTATTTCATTGTCACTCTTACGAGATTTTTCTGGACCACAATATTGATATTACAATTTACTGTTAAATTTGATTTCTACTAGATATTGTATGGGTAGGATTATGAAGTATGGAGGTTTAGCTCTGATTAAGCTGGTAAATCGTTACAGACCTAAGGAGACCCTTGGGTAGGCCCATAGGTGTAATATCCCAAAATCAGGGTTAGTGACTAAAATAGAATTTTTGAAACTTTGAAGTATGATTTTAAAAGATTGTAAAATATAGGGACTTATTTTAAAATATTTTTGAGAGATTGTTGGTAATTATTAAATGAAGTAAAGGGTAAAATGGTCATTTGACAAGGAAGATTTTTATTTTCCCTTATAAGATAAGAAAACCACGTGGGAAGAAGAAAAATGAAGTTCTAGAGTTCTCTTCATCTTTCTTCTTTCTCTCTATCGTGATCCAAGGTTGCAAAGGTAAGTCCTCTTGTTAGATAATTTCTTGTTGAATTCAAGGTTTGTTTATAATCATTAGATGATAATTAAGCTTAAAGAAAGCTTAAATCATCTTAAAAGTAAAGGATGGTGGAGTTAAGAGAGATTAAAGATTAAGAGATTTCAAATGAAATCTTAGAATAGAGTTCATTACTCAAATTAGAAGATAAATTTGACTTGTCATCAACTTAATTAAGAGATATGAAGTGATAGAATTGAATTAAGAACATATTGAAAAATTTGTATGATTATTGATTTCCATATGGAGAAAGGTATTTTGAGATTTAAAGGGTGATAAAGGAGTAGAAATGAGTTTAAGTATGTATATGAGAGTTAAGAATATGGTAGAGGATGTAATATGAAGTGTTTAAGTAGAATTGGAGTGATTTTCAGGCTTAAAAATGAATTTTGGACTATGTGCATCGATGCACATTCAATGTGTACTGATGCATCAAGGGTATTTCCAGAAATTGTTCAGTGTGTATCGATGCACAGGAAGTGCATCGATGCACCTATTAAAAATGGAAACATCGACAATTAGTGCATCGATGCATAAGGAGTGCATCGATGTACCCCCTTAAAATTAAAACATCGAAGGTGATTTGTGTATCGATGCATGGGTAGTGTATCGATGCATGGGTAGTGTATCGATGTACATGTTAAAGAATGCATCGGTACACTATAGAATGTATCGATGCACTTCAAGGGAAAATAGAATTAGGTCTTTCTTTTGGTTTAAGAAATGATAGATTAGAATACATCACTTAGATACTGATATGTATCAATGTATAAACATGTAGATATCGAGCATGAACAAGTTCCGGGATGATCATCAAGTTAAGATTCGATCGAAAGAAAGGAAATCAAAAAAGGGGATTGGAACTTAGTGAGGCCAAGGTGAATGTATACAAGTTAGTTTATGATGTTTAATGGAAATAAGACTTGCGATGAGTCTATTTCTTATATTAGAATGCATGAATTTATGATCATATGCATATGTTTGATTTGGGTATATGTGATATATATTACAATATGTATTAAATGATTTATGTGAATACATGTATTGTGATAAGTTATAGGAATTAATATGAATGATCTATATGATTACATGGGAATGTGAAATAGGTTATATGATAGGTGACCATACATGTTACATAGTATACGTGATCAATTATAAGAATCAATATAATAGATTTATATGACTACATGAGAAAGGTGGTGAGTTAAATAAGATTAGACTATAGAGTAATATGAGAATAATATATTAGTGAAGGGAATTGAGTATAAATGATGATACCAAACCATAAGATAAGTATTTAATTATAGGATAATATG